AAAAAATTAATAATAAATATACATATAATAAAAAAAACCTCCGGAGGATTTCATTTAAAAAAAAAAATATAAACTGGACAGAAAACAAATAAGTGAAAGCGTTAGAAATTCGAAGAAACGAAAAGAGAAGAGAGAGAGAGAGAGAGAGAGAGTGTGTGTGCGTGTGTGAGAAAGAGAGAGAAATTGAGAAAAGAAATGACGTATAAATAAACACAATATAAAAGAGAAAAAAATTTTTTTTTTTTTTTTTTTTTAAACTGGAGAGGAATGAGAGGAAGAGAGAGAGAGAGAGGGGGAGAGAGAAAGAGAGAGAAAACGAATTCGGAAAATGTCGCATTCCCATGGTTTTGAATTGAATTTAAAAACTTTTGAAACCGGATATGACGGGTAAAAAAAAAAAAACGTGGAAAGAGAAATCGCATTGCAAAAAAAAAATAAAAAATAAAAATCGGAATCTCTCTCTCTCTCTCTCACTCTTTTTAATTTTTTTTTGTATTTTCTCTCTCTTTTTTTTTTCATTCTCGTTTCATCATCATCATCATCATCATCATCATTATCATTATCATTGCATTCGAACGCGTCAATCCCAAACCTGTTTGTTTGTTGCACACACAACAACCTTTGATTTATGTCCTTTTTTTTCCCTTTTCCCTTTCCCCCTCCTCTCCTCCTTCTTTTTCGTTTATTATAATTTTACGAATAAATTTTTTGTTTTTTTTTTTTATTAAAGTCCCGAAAAATAAATTTTTTCCCACGGGATAAGTGGAGGGGGTGCAAAGAGAATAAACTCCTCCTCAATTTTCCAACACAAGATACCGGAAAGCTGACTCTTGAATTTTTTTTTTTTTTTTTGTCCCTATCCGTGTCTTGTCGTGTCAGCATCTTTCTCAGCTTCACCGTCCAATGACACGTTTTTTGTTTACATACTTTTTACGTGTTTCTTTTTTTTCCTTTTTTTTTTTGTCGTCGTTTTAGAAAATGAGACCCGTTTTCGAGCTTATTTTGTTGTTATCGAAAAAAAAAGGTTTTTGTTTTTTTTCCCCCCGTTGTTTCCTCGTTTGTTTGTTTTCGAAAATTTTAAATAATGTTAATAATTTAAATTTTCGTTTCGTGTTTTTTTTATACCCCCCCTCCTCCCTCCCATCCGCCCTTTTCCCTCATTTTTTCGAAAACACATTAAAAGTTGTGTAAAAGATCAAACCGAAAACAAAAACAAACAAACAAACAAAATATAAAACATAAAAACGCTTTACGTTAAAATTTTACCTTTTACAAAAAATATTCAACTTTGACCTCGATATACCAACGACAAAAAAAAAAAAAAAAAAAAAAAAAACGTAACGCGAAACCGAACGGAAAATGGCGACGAATGGATCCCAAAGGAAAATATATATATATATATATATATATATATATATATATATATATATATACTACGTACACGTCGTGAGTATATACATATATATATCAAAAAAATAAATTTTCCTTTGTTTCTTTTCCTTTTTTTTTTTCTTAATCTTTCATTTTTTTATTTCACCTTTCACCCCTCCCTCCACCTCACCTCCTCGTTAAAATGATAATAATAATAATCAATACAAAGGCAAAACATAAAACGACAAAAATAATGTAAAAACTTTCCGTGCGCGAGTTTTTTTTTGTTGAAATAATTTAAATTTTTATCTATTTTCGTTTCCTTTTACCGCCATTTTTTTTTTTAAATAACAATAAAAATCGTTCGAAAAAAATTTAAGGGGAGTTAAATAAATAAATAAATAAGGGTAGTTTTTTTAAAAACAAAATTACGTTAAATGCACATAACAAAAGCAATAAAAAAAAAAACAATATGGCGTCGTTAAAAGTAAAAAACAACACGGCGTCGTTAAAAGTAAAAAAAAAGAAAAATTTCTTTGTTCCTACCTGACATTTGGGATACTTTTCTTCTTTCCTTTCGACTTTCCAACCCAGTAACGGTGGTATGCATATCAAACCGGATGCTATCCAAACGAAGGCTATCATGAACACGGCTCTTGCCGGCGTTCTTTTTTTAAGATAATCAATGGCTTGCGTTATAGACCAATAACTAGAAAGAAAAAGTAAAGCATGAGAAGGAGTAAGAAGAAGATGACAAAAAGGTCAAAGGAATACTCACCGATCCAACGAGATAAGGCATAGGTTCATTATGCTTGCCGTCGATAGTAAGACGTCCATGGCCGAATGTATGTCGCACCACATGTTACCGAATATCCAATAGCCCATGAGTTCGTTAGCTAAGCTAAAAGGCATTATAATCAAACCCAAAAAGAAATCCGCGACCGCTAGGGATGCTATAAACCAATTTTGTATGTTTTTCAACGATTTTTCCGTCGCTATGGCGATTATGACGAGCATGTTTCCGACGACGACAATTATCATGACGATCGTGACCAATATGGACGATAGTATTATGTGTGCCAATGTGTAACCGCTTGGATAAGATAAACCCGGATATATTATGTACGTGTTGTCGAGTGAAAAATTCGTTAGGTTCACGTAACTTTCGTTAATGACACGATTCAATTCAATGTACCCGTCGTCGAAATTTGTCGAATTGTAATAATCCGTTAAATCTGATGAAAACTCCATAATTTTCAGGTACTACCTTTGTGTTCCCCCTTTTTTTCTTCTTCTTCTTCTTTGATGATGTTTTCAATAAGTTTTTTATTTCAACAAAATAAATGTTATTCGCGACCGGAAACACACAAACAAACGAAACGAAACGAAAAATTAAAAACAAAAAAAACAACCAACGAACGAACGAACGAACAAACGAACAAACGATAAACTTTTTTTTTTTTTTTTTCTATTATTATTTTTTTTTTTTTTAAGTTAACTAATAGATTTTAGGCACAAGTTGAAATTGGAAGAATATCTTAGAATTAGGTACGAATGAATTTTCTGTCGTTTCATAATCAATCGATCATTAACATTGTTTGTTTGTTTGTTTGTTTTTGCTTGACTTATTCCTTTGCGGTTTATCTGAACGAGAACCTGAAAGAGAAAAAAGAAAAATTTTTTTTTTTAAAACGAAATTTTAAATACAAACGATTGTTATGAATGATAACAACCGGATGTGGTTTTTAATCTTTTGTCCTTTGAGTTTGTCAAAAAAAATTTCCCGTTTGTTGTCTTCTTTAATGATGATAAGATAATAATAATTATTAAAATCTTAAAAAGTTTCTCATCATCTTAATCTTATTTATAATTTATGGAAAACCGTTTAAAATACGACCCCCCCTAAAGCCCCCCCACCCTCAGCGCTCTCTGTCATCGTTATCAAATCTACCTCGTTGGTTGTTTGTTTGTCTGTTGTGGTTGTTTTCATGATTTCGTTCTTTTAATAAGAGTCAATGTTACCCTTCGTAGTCTTTTCTTTCTGTACTAATTTTTTTTCGTATGTTAAAAAAAAATGGCCGTCGGACTGGTAAGGCATATAATTCGTACCAACTGACCCAGATTAAAAAAAAAAAAAAAATTCGAAATTAAATTTAACAGCTGACGAAGTTTTATTTTATTTTATTTTTTTTTGGGGGGGGGGGAAGTCTTAAAACCAAAAAAAGAAAATTGAAACTTTTTTTTTATATATTACGACCTTCGTGTGTTCTTTTCTCTCTCTCTCTCTCATTTTCCCGCCATTTTTTTTCTTTTCCTCTTTTAAAAATTAACCCAAATTATTATTATTATTATTATTATTATTTGAACGTTTATAATAATATTCATTAAATAAAAAAAAAAAATTTTTTTGGCCATTTTTTTTTTTTTTTTTATTTCAAACTTTTGTAATTTATGAAAACTTTTTCTTTTCTTTTCTTTTTTTTTTAGTAATAACAAAAACAAAGTGTTAAAAAGAAAAAAAAGGGGGTGTTGAAGGTTTCCAGTGGGCGGTGACGGTGGTGGTGGTGACTCCTCAAAAAAAAAATGCCTGAAAAGTTTTTTTTTTTTTTTTTTTTTTTGAAAAACAAAAATAAAACTTTTTATGTAAAAACTTATTTTGAAAATAAAATGTATTACTGGAACAAAAAAAAAAAAAACTTCATAAATGAAAAAGAAGAAAAGAAATGAAATAAAAAGAAAAGAAAAAAACTCGACAGAGAAAGAGAGAGAGAGAGCGAGAGAGAGAGGGACAAGGAAGGAAGGATATAAAAGGTTTTAAAGACAAAGGAAAGAAAAAAAAGAAAAGAAAAGAAAAAAGGAAAACAGGGTTAAATAATTTTAAATTTAATTTTTTTTTTTTTTTTAATTTTATTTTACAATTAAAAAACAAAAAGAGGGAAGGGAGGATGGGTAAGGGTGAGAGGGAAAGAGAAAGAGTAAAAAAGAGAAAGAGAGTGAGAATGAGAGAGAAAGAGAGAGAGAGAGAAAGAAAATATATTTTTCATTAAAATATTTGCCCTCTTTTTCCTTTTTTTTTTTTTTTTCTATCATTCGTCCCTATTTTTATCATCATCATCATCTCTTCCCTCCTCCCTCCTCCCCACCCCCCTTTAGCTTCTCTTTTCACATCTTTCGGTCACGTTTCAAACGGAAATAAATTTTTTTTTTCATTTGTTAAATATTATTATTATTATTATTATTATTATTATTATTATTATTATTATTATTATTATTATTATTATTATTATTACCATCATCATCATCGACGTTTGTCATCATTGTTTTGATTTTTTTTTTTTTTTTGTTAAACCATTTTTAACGACGACGCGGTCAAATAAATCCCCCCCTCTCTCTCTCTCTCTCTTTCTCTCACTCGTGAGAAAAATATATATTATTATTATTATTATTATAACGGAAACGTTTACATTCGAACGGGAAGTGCGTGAACAACGGCTGGCTTTTGGTTTTTTTTTTTTTTTTTACCTCTTTGCGTTTAAACTTTTCCCAACAATTTTCGGATTTTTTTTTTTTTTTTAAATCCCATCACATGTGAGTGACGTAATGAGATTTTTAACCCCCCGGAAAAACTTTAACGTCTTTCATCCCTTACGAACGTATTTTTTTTTTTTTTTTCCAAAGATTCCAAAAAATAAAAATAAAAATTTAATTTTTATCTCGCGTGACGAAATAAACCGACGAATTTTTTTTTTTTAAATGACGTGTTGCGGTAATTAATTTCCTTTAATTTACTGGTTCTTTTTATTTGGAAACAAAAATTAAAAAAATAAGAAAAAATATGATTGGCTGAAAAAAAAAATTAAATAATCGTAAGTAAGGAGTGGAGGGGGAAGAAGAAAAACAACGAGAGTGGTGGAAAATTAAAAGAGCGGGAGGAGAAAAGAAAAATACGAAGGAGGGAGTGAAGGGAGGGGGGAAAACCTTCCATGCGAAAGCAACAACACCGGTTTTGTATTACCTGTAATTTGTTACTTTCTTTTTTATTTATTAATTAATTAATGAATAATTTTTTTTATTTTTTTCTTGCGTTTTTCGTGATTTCCCTCGTTTGTTTTTGTTCCCGGTTGTTTGTTTGTTTGTTACTCGTCGTAAATAACGATGACGTACGAAAATACGGTAAAATCCACGCACGCACGCACGCACGCACGCACGCACGGAAAAATCGTAAAAATATTTATTATTATTATTTATTTTAATTTTTTACAAGCAATTAAATTAATAATAACATTAAAACCTTTTAAATAAAATAAAAAAACGTGGAAGCAGAAAAACAACAAGACGAGAAAGTAGAAAAAAAAATAAAAATAAAAAAAACGTTGTTAATATTTAACAAAAAAAAAAAAAAGGAAATGAAAACTAATTTTTTTTTCCTTTTTTCCTTTTTTTTTCCTTTCCTTCTCCGGTTTCGATTTTAATAAAAGCAAAAAGTAAAAAAAAGGAAAATGGAGTAAAAGTGGAAAAAAGAAAAAACAAAATGGAGAAAAGTAAAAGAATTATGAATTCTACGGATGAAAAACTTTTGAAACGGAGATATTATTATTATTATTATTTTCGAGAAAGAGAAAATTTTTTTTCTCTACCTTCACCCCCCCCCCGAAAATGAAAACTTTTAAATATTTTTTAAGAAAGAGAGAGAAAGAGAAAGAGATAGAAAAAGAGTTTAATGAAAACCGGAGAAAAAGAAAAGCGAAAAATATTAATAATAACAATAATAATAATAATAATAATAATAATAATAATAATAATAAAATGAAGGGTTTCGACGAGATTCTTCTAATTACACGATTATTTGTTATCCCCCCTCCCCACTTTTTTTTTTCTTCTTTCATTCTCTTATATCAACAAGTAATTTTTTCTGTTGAGAGAGAGAGAGAGAAAGAAGAAAATGAAAATTAATTGATGCGATATTATTCCTCCCTCCCCCTCTCTCCCCTCATCGATTTCTTCATCATCTTTTACGTCATCGTCATTTTTTTCATTCCGACATTTTTCCTTTAAAAAAAAAATTTCCCTCTCATTATTTGTCACGTAATCCGCCAAAAAAAAAAGGGGGGCCTAACAAAAATGATGATGATGATGATGATGATAGGGAAGTTTCTAGAAAGAATCATCATTTCCGCCATCTTTTAAATCAAAAAAACATTTTCGTCGAACGTTAAAAATTTACTTACGATCGTCTCAATTTTTTTATTACTTTCGTATTATAAACATCTACCCCATTCGCGATTGTAATAATAATAATAATAATAATAGGAGCGTATTTGTGACGTCGGTCGTGAGGTGGCGGGGCGGTGGTGGTACGACGCGTTGACGAAATTCAAATTAATAATAATAATAATAATAATAGTATGAGAAAAGTTGTTTAATCATTTAAAATAGAAAACGATTTAATAAAATGAAAAAGTTAATGAAGCATTTATCATTATCATTATCATTATTATCATTATCGTCGTCGTTTTAAGAGTTTTCCAATGTTATTTAAAATAAAATCTCAAGATAAATAATAATAATAATAATAATAATAATAATAATAATAATAATAATAATAATAATAATAATAATGTTTATGTAAAGTTTTTCATCTTTTTTTTTTTTTTGTAAATTTTAAAATTCCGTTCCAAAAATTTTATTAATTACTTAATGTAAGTTTTTAACGGTTAAAAAAAAAAACGTCTAGAACGTTCTTCCAAACCGAACGTTATAAATTTTAACGAAAAAAATTAATAATAATAATAATAATAATAATAACGACTTACCAGAAAATAAAATTTTCCTTTTTATGGTTTTGTTTTCTTTCTTCGTTTCGTTTGTTGCCACGCTTTTGTTGTTGTTTGATCGGCCGAAATAAAAATTTTTTTTGTTTTTTAATATCCGGTTTGATAAAAAAATAAATAAATAAATTTTTAAATAATGATAATGATAATAATATTAATTGATTGTCCCCCTTTTCTTTTTCTTTCTTTCTTTCTTTCTTTCTTTTATATTAAACTAAATAATAATAATAATAATGGAAATATTTAAATTTTTGTTTTTTGTTTTTTTGTCATCGTCATCATCATCATCATCATCGTTATCATCATCATTCTTATCATCATCATAATCGTTCGATAATGTAATATTTTGATAAAACATTTGAATAAAAATTATACATATTATTAATTATTATTATTATTAATTATTAATTATTTTTTACG